AGAAGAAGCTTTTTAATTGGAATCCATCCCATTTATTGATTCTTGATTTTAATTCTTGCATTTTAGGAATCTTGTTAAGGAAGTCAGATCCTAGGCTAATGTGGTGCATTCTTTTTTTCTATTAGGCACAGGGTCTCTGTTCTACTTTGAGTTGATTTTTGTGCAGGGTGACAGATACAGGTTTAATTTCATTTTGCTCCATATGGATTTCCAGTTTTGCCAGCACCCTTTGTTGAATAGGCTATGTTTTCTCCAGTGAATGTTTTTGGCACCTTGTCTAGTGTGAGATAACTATATTTATGTGGGTTTGTCTCTGTTTTCTATTCTGTATCATTGGTCTACAACTCTATTTTGGTGCAATACCATGCTGTTTTGTTACTGTAGCTCTGTAGTATAGTATAAGGTCTGGTACTGTGATGCCTCCTGCTTCACTTTTCTTGCCAAAGATTGCTTTAGCTATTCTTGGTTTCTTATTTTTCTTTTTTTTAAAGAGAGAGTGAGTGAGAGAGGGGAGAGAGACAGAATTTTCAATATTTATTTTTTAGTTCTCGGCGGACACAACATCTTTGTTGGTATGTGGTGCTGAGGATCGAACCAGGGCCGCACGCATGCCAGGCGAGCGCGCTACCGCTTGAGCCACATCCCCAGCCCCTCTTATTTTTCCAAATAAATTTCATGATTCTTTTTTCTACTTCTATGAAGAATGTCATTGGGATTTTACTAAGAATTTTAATAGGAATTGCATTAAATATGTATAAAACTTTTAGTAGTATGGCCATTTTGACAATAATAATTCTGCCTATCCAGGAGCATGGGAGATCTTTCCATTTTCTGAGGTTTTCTTCAATTTCTTTTTTTAGTGTTCTGTAGTTTTCATTGTAAACATTTTTCACCTCTTTTGTTAGATTGATTCCAGGATGTAATTTTTTTTGAGGCTATTGTGAATAGTTTTCCTAATTTCTCTTTCAGTGGATTCATTGCTGAATTAAAAAAAATTTTTTTTTAGTTGTTGATGGACCTTTATTTTTTTTATTCATATGCAGTGCTGAAAATCAAACCCAGTGCCTTACACATGCTAGGCAAATGCACTACAACTGGACTACAAACCCAGCTCCTGATGGGGGTACTCATTTCTGTGCTCAAAATTTTTTGATTTGGCTACTGAAAGCTCCTTTATAAGCTGGTCCCCTCATGTCCTAGTAACTTTTTTCTTTTTAGCATTTCCTTATTTTGTGACACAGGATAATGTTCCAGGCTCATCCTACATCTTCCTTGCCCAACCTCAGAAATTTCTCCAGCACCTGGTTTCTTTTAGTAGGTATAACATTTAGAGGCTAAAATTGGCACCAGGTATTCACACTGATACTTCAGTGTCATAAGAAGGCAGAGTTAGCTAGCTTCTTATATATATTAAATATATGTGTTTATTTTTAGGTACTAGAGATTGAACCTAACCACTGAGCCATATCCCCAGCCCCACCCCCCTGCATTTTTTTTTTTTTTTTTAATTTAGAGACAGGGTTTTGCTAAGTTGCAGAGGCTGGCTTTAAACTCATGATCCTCCTGCCTCAGCCTCCTGAGCTGCTGGGATTATAAGTGTGTGCTACCATATCCTGCAGGAGCGGGGAAATATTTATATAAATAAGTGTGTATATGTGTGAGGAGGTGTATGTATATGTGAATATTTATATTTTAAAATCAATGAGTTCATAATGAAACTTTTAATTCTAATCTTGGATTCCTGTTGTCTTAAATATATTTAGCTCATTTGCTCAGTGCTTTGTAGCCAGCAAGCTTCAGAATCATTACAACTATGTCAATAATAAAGTTCAAGACTTTTTCTAATTCTCTTTTGTCTTTGAACAGAAGGCACATGGTTAAGTCATTTGTATTAGTGGTCATGTTTATCAATATGAGTTTTGAGTACTGTGTAGACTATTTAGAAACTATTTCCCAATTCTTTGTTGACTTTATTTTACTGAGTTTATAAAGCATCAAGGGTCATTATACCAAAATTGGAGATTTTGTTTAAGGGTCATTCAGAAGTGATGATCTATGATGTCCCATGGTGAGCCTTTCCTGTGGTGACAGCCCAGAGTTCTCCCACTGTAGGAGACCTTCCCTTGTTTGAGGTCTGTGGCTCCAGCTGGTCTGTTGTTCTGTAATTCCTACTCGGATATTGACTCATTATTTCCCAGTCAACTTAACATGTGGCGATGTGTCCTCCACTTACCTTATTTCTAATAGTGCTATGGTTTGGATAAGTGTCCCTCAAAGGCCCATGTGTAAAGGCTTACTCACCATCCTGTGGCACTACTGGGGGGTGATAGAGCCTAGGGGGAGGAAGTTAGGTCATGGGGGACATGCCCTTGAAGGGAGTATTGAGATCCCAGCCCTTTCCTTTTTGCTTCCTGGCTGCCATGAGGTGAACAGGAAGCTACACAGACCCTCCACGACTTATTGTACCATCACAGGCCCAGAGCAACAAGGACAAGCAGTTATGGGATGAAACCTCTGAAACTGTGAGCCAAAATGAAACTTTCCTCCTTTTAAATTGATTTTATCAGATATTTTGCCACACTAATTGAAAGCTAATAGAAAGAGCTCTGCCCCCATTCCAAGTAGTCCTTAAAAGTTTGTTTTTATGGTGCTGGGTGTTGGACCCATAGAGCCTGGTGCGTGCTAGGCAAGTGCTCCATCACTGAGTACATCTCCGGCTCAAGGGGTATTTGTTAGACCATTTTCCACATTCCTCCATCYTTTCTAGTTGGGCTGGGATTACTTTCACAGAAGTCCCTCCAGTGGTCTTTTTAAAAATTTATTTTAGTTGTAGTTGGACACAATTCCTTTATTTATTTTATGTGGTGCTGAGGATCGAACCCAGCGCCTCGCACCTTCTTAGCTGCAACCCCAACCCTCTCCAGTCGTCTTTATGGATCTCTGTAAGCTGGAACTCTGTTCTTGGCTACCATACTAACTGCATGTCCACATTTTGTTGCCTTTCTCTGCTCCGGCTCCGCCACTGCTCTCCAAAGTTGTCAGCCCACATTAAAGGTTCTAGTCTGCCCCTCGCTTTCTTGCCTTGATTTCTGAGCCCACAGTCCGGTGACTTCCACCTTGCAGTACTTGCTATGAAGAACTCTAGTTTGCTTAATGTTCAAGGGCCTAACTTCTCTGTTCGTATTACCTGAACTCTTGAGCTCAAAAGCTGATTCCTCTTATAGCAGGATTGTATTTAAAAATACCTGATTGTGTATTTCTGTTATTGTCTTTATTTCTAACTAGGCAGTGAACTGCAGGTTGGCAGAGAGCATATTTGAGGTTCTTTATAAACTTCTCTTTGGCACCTACTACACAATCATCTGAAAGACCATGAGCCACTGGGGAAAGGATGGTGGTGGACTAGAATTTTAGAGACCTTGTAAGAAGCAATCATTGAAGTTGGATGGCTAACCAACCTGAATGATTGTGGCCCAGCAGCTTAAAACTGCTTGGCAAATCCAATTCCTGAGAGTCTGCAATTTGGGATTCAGACCCTGCTTTGGTCATGACGGCTATGGTTCTGTGTGCTGTGGTCCATCCATATAGTAGTACATATAAACTCTTTTTTTTTTTTTTTTTTTGGTAGCAGTGATTGAACCCAGGGGTGCTTTACTACCCAGCTAGTTCCTCAGCCCTTTTTTGAGACGGGGCTAAGTTGCTCAGGCTGGCTGTGATCTTGAAGTCCTTCTTCTCCAGCCTCTCAAGTAGCTGGGATTACAAGCAAGTACCATCACACTCAACTTTCATTATATTTTTGCAGTACTGGGAATTGAACCCAGGGTTCAAGAATGCTAGGCGAGTACTTTATCATGGAGCTACGTCTTTTTTTTTTTTTTGAGACAGGGTCTTCCTTAGTTGTACACACTGACCTTGAAACAATGATCCACCTGCCTCAGTCTCCCAGGTAGCTGGGATTGCAGGTATGCACCACCAAGTCTGGCTAAGCTTTTTTTTTTGAGGTACGTACAAGAAGTGTTTTACCAGGTTGTGGAATTTGGATGCCAAGAAGGGCATGTTGATGGAAGATGTAAAGGAACCAGCCAGGAAATTCCCTGGGCCGGACTAGGACTGTCCTATTCAGAAATTCAACTGGCCAAAGAAACATGAAGCTCCAGGATCTTGGAAGCCTCTTTAAAGTGGACTGAAGAATGCCCTAAGCATGGTAGTAGGTTAGTATTCTCATTGGCTTTTGTATAGGAGTGACTTTCCCAACAGATGCTCTCACATTAAAGGCAAAAAGAAAAAAGAATTTTTTTAACCAGACAACTTGGGCTTACTGAGTAGAAGACTGTCATGTATTTTGCCTTTAGACTGAGAATGGATAGTATGATGAGCTGTCATAGAGGTAAGAGGCACTGCTAGGATCTTGCTGGACCTGCCCCTGCCCCTGCCCCTGCCATGAGTTACATAAACCAGTTCCTTTTGGGCCACACAGATAGTGAGTGAAGGCGAGAGCTGGGGAGTCACCATCATGCTAAGGCTCAGATTTCCTAAAGGAAAGTCACACCCATCCTCCTCACCTTTCCTCCTTGGCTTCCTGGAGAACTCACCTGCTTATTTCCCAAGTCCTCGTCTTTACTGCATAGGCATCTTAGGCTGTTTAATGAGCTCAGCCCAAAGGACATCCCAGGCTATGAAATATGTAGGCTGTGATTTCTTGAGAGAAGCCATTTTTTTGCAGCCATGTAGAATTTAGGTGGTCTTCAAAGGGCCACTGCTAGGAGCAAACATAAGTGAGCTCAGGCAGGGCAAGAACCCAGGTGACAGTGCATATTCATTTTCATGCCTCAAACTACAGAGGACTTGGCCTCCTCACTCTCTCCAGGGAAAACACCTAATATGGATAACCTCATCATCATTAAACAAATTGCCTGAAAGAGCAAATTCTCTTGAGCACAGAGGAAACAAATCTCCTTAAAGCTTTACCTAGTAGGAACAGTAGGATGACTACCACAAACCTGATTTTGAATAGTTTATTAAAGGAAAGGTGAAGCATCAGTTTCAAATTGTACAAAAGGAAAAAAACCTCATATTGCAAATGTACAATTTACAGAATTACTAGCAAAACCAATCAAGGAGACACTGAAAATACAAAAATTTGATTGACTTCAAACTCAACTGGAAACCCATTGGAGTAGATATTAAGACTTTTTTGTTGTTGCATGGTAGTCTGTAAGTTTAAGCATCTGTCTTCCACAAGAGACTACAAGCAAAGGATCAGTCTGTGCATATGTCAGGACCCCTCCTGGTTTGCTCCTTGACCAGAATCACAGGCAGGGCTGGATGGATAGGCCAGTCATTCCTGCTCCTTTACTTCCAGTGAAGCCCACATTTCTAGGAGAAAGGCCCTAGCTCCCTTAACTGGAGCCCAGGAATTGCTGAATTAGCAGATAAAACATTTTTTGGTGACCAAGTTTTTTTTTTTTTTTTTTTTAAATAACTGTACAAATGTTGAGAAAAAATCTGTTTGCTTAAAAGGATGAATAAAATTATCTGTTTTGCTTTCCCACACAAAATATAATTAGAGGTGCACAGAATTTTTAAAAATGCTGTTAATTTTTGGTAAAAAGGGAAAGCCTCATGATTCTCTTGCAGCTACTTTAAAAACCAGCCCAGAAACAGCTGTGGATGGATTGGTTTGGAAATACTGAGGCTTATATTAAAAACCAGAAGGAAGAGACTAAGTGGGCTTTTTAAAAAAACAGCAGCAGCAAGTCATAATAGTCTAATCAGATTATAATTTTAAACAATTGAAGACTGTCCTGAAGAGTCATACATTTTTCCCCAAAAAGAATTATTCTCAATACGCACATTTAACACTGAAATGTAGCTGTATTTCAAGGTAATCTTAGGAACTTCACCCTCTAAGCACAGACTTCTATGCAGCACATACTTCTATAATTGGCAAACTTAATTCACAAAATTAGCGCATAAGGATAGTAAGTGCATGGGAAGTAAACACAGTTATGTTACACTTAAAATTACTTTTGAATGGCAAAGGATTCTTCATGATTCTTCATTAAAAAAATGGAAGTCTGTGTAACTTGAATTTGGCAGGGCATGAAATAAGTGGTTAAAAACAGCAAACTGATAACTTGAACCATTTTTGTTTTACTGAGAATACTTTATTTGCTGGTAGAAGTTGCTAAAAATGCACAGAACAAATACCAATAGAAAATGCACTGTATTCGAATCTCCCTATTCTATATAAAATGAACTGAGTACAGCATCTGTTGGAAAAATGGCTGCATGGACATTTATTTTATGCCCACTTATAAATAAAAATAAACCTTTTTATTCAAGAGTATATAAAATCTGGGAATTCATATCCATATCCACAGAGGGTGTGTGGTTTTTGGCAGAGATGCACGGTGTCAGAATTCCATCTTAGCTTGTCAATGCTCTGTTCCTTCATGTTTCTGTGTTCTACAAGGTCAACCAAATCCAGTGAGCTCCAAAAACACTCTTCGGCGATTAGGATGAGCTGCTTACTCATAGATTTAATAAAAATGGTTAGCTTTTAAAACATAAAAAGGCAAAATGTTAAAACGGTTTTTAAATTGTACAACAGGAAAATAAAGTTAAAAATATTTTTTTTTTTTTTACTCAATGCTGAGTTTTCATAAAACAGGTGTATAACAGTGTTTCTTGACAGCTGTTTTAAAAATTTAAAATTTCTTCCTCCCTCCAGAAAAACACACAATCTGTACTACGTCCAATATTAGGACACAAATGATTTTTTTGGGGTCAGTCTTTCTGAGGTGACATTCACCATTTCCTTGGGTAGTTTACATGCTCCTCTTCTCTGTCACTGCAAAAAGGGATTGACCTTAATCATTTGATTAAAAAACAAATCAGATCACATCAAAAGTGTTTTTTTCCCCATACAAGCTATCACAGTATATAGGCCTCTAGCTCTAAATAATAGAGTTCCAGATTTGTATTTTCTTCAGACTTCAGAACATAGGCATCCCAAATCCCTAGAAAATGAGAAACACAATTATTAATTTCATGTATCTACATGACCTAAGAAACCATAAATAAAAAGTACTAATTTAATATTTACTGAATCATCTTCTATGATAGCTGCAGAGTCAAAGAAGTCTGGCCTCAGCTCAGCTCGCTCTCTTCGATTTCTTGACGGGGGCTAAAAAGAGAAATTAATATTTTTCTTGAGATCATTAAGACAATGTAATGTAAAAATCAGGTAACATTTCTGATGGTATAACTACACAGAAACATTAAGGGTCAATTATTATTATTATTTTGGTACTGGGAATTGAACACAAGGTGCTTAACCGCCAAGCCACATCCTAGCCCTTTTATATTTTATTAGGGGCAGAGTCTTGCTAAGCTGTTTAGACTGGGTTTGAACTACAGATCCTCCTGCCTCAGTCTAAGTTGCTGGAATTACAGGTGTGCACCACGGTGCCCAACAATGGTTGTTTTCTTTTCTTGAGTACTGGGGATTAAACTCAGTAGCACTTGACACTGAGTCATTAATAAAATACAAAATAGTCCCCTATTTTGTATTTTATTAGAGACAGGGTCTCATTGAGTTGCTTAGCGCCTTGTTAAATTGCTGAGGCTGGCTTTGAAATCTCAATCCTTCTGCCTCCGCCTCCCAAGCCGCTGAGATTACAGGTGTATGACACTGTGCCTGGCCAAGGGTTGATTTTTTTTTTAAAATATTTATTTTTTAGTTTTCGGCAGACACAACATCTTTGTTTGTATGTGGTGCTGAGAATCGAACCCGGGCCGCACGCATGCCAGGCGAGCGTGCTACCGCTTGAGCCACATCCCCAGCCCCCAAGGGTTGATTTTTAAAGGAGAATGAGAAATTGGCTGTTTTATGCAACAGATTTTTAAAAAGTGAGCATGTAGATATTAATTTTGGGCCCACAAAACATATCTTCCCTTTTAAGTCACAGAATCATTATAAAAATGATTAAATACTAGGTGATGAATTTCAGTGAATTCTCCAAAGTAGATAGTTTGAAAGCTACTGGGACTGAGGACAGGAAGGTTACAGATTCGAATGACATTTCTTATAAAAACTTTTCATTATGGAATCCTCAAAGCACACAAAGCAGAATGTTATAGACTGAATTATGCCTCCTCCCCTGGCAATTTACAATTCCTAGAACCTTAGAATGCGATTATATCTGGGGCAGGCAGATCACAATATTTTTAAAAATATTTTTTTTATTGTAGTTGGACACAATACCTTTATTTCACTTATTTATTTTTATGTGGTGCTGAGGATTGAACCCAGGGTCTCGCACGCGCGAGGCGAGCATCCTACTGCTGAGCCACTACCCCAGCACCGAAGATCACAATTTCAAGGCCAGTGTACATAACTTAGCAAGACCTTATCTCAAAAATAAAAAGGGCTAGGGATATAGCTTAGTGTGAAGTGCTTGCCCTGCATGTATGAGGCCTTGGGTTCAATCCCTGTAAGGCCAAGAAGGATTAAAAAAAAAAAAAAAAAAAAAAAGAAGTATAAGGTCATATGAGTAAGCCTTAATTAAATGTAACCAGTTTCCTTATAAGAAAAGACCACATGAAAACAAAGGGAGAAGGCAGCTATCTATAACGTAAGGAAAAAGAACATAAAATGCAATCAACTCTGCTGATACTTTCATCTTGGATTCCTGGCTGTTTAAGCCAGTCAGTCTGTGGTATTTGCTATGGCAGTCCCATCCAACTGATATACTGGGAAAGCAGTATGATGAATTTCCAGGTACTGATCACTTAGCTACAATTGTCAAACATTTGGTCAATCTTGTTTCATTGAGTCTCCTGTTTTTTCTTTCCCATGTCATTTTATCTATATTCAATGGTATTTTTAACTAATGGAAACTTTTTAAAAACATTAACACCATGCATTACTATTCCTTAAAAATGATTTCTTAGTATCACCTGTATCTAGTCCATACTCAAATTTTCTTGTATAAATAATATACAAAACTGTTTGATATATATACTGCATTTGGTTGTTATGTTGGAGTATAGTATATATTGTCAGACTCCAATTTAAAGTACAAGATGCCAGATATACTATGTTGAAAGATCTGGGATGAGTTCTTTCTCAAGAAAAGGGGTTGGGGGAGGAATCAGACCCTGTTACTCCCAGAATTCAAAATATGATGGCTTTCAAAGCAGGCTTAAAAAACACATAAGTTCATCCACTGTTGGTCAATGTTACCACTCCTCACCTCACAGCATTCAGAGAACAGAGCATTTTCTTACCCCAATGCTCTCCTATAGTTTAACAGAAATTTCCTTACTAGATCAATAACCATGGTGTCTTCAAATTCTTCATTCATATCTTCTAACTGGCTCCGGGATGACATCATCACATCTTCAAAGATGGGCTCAGCATCTTCCTCCATCAGACCCCGACTGATGAAGAAAAAATAGAGTCAGAAAGCTGTTTAGACTCATCAAATTTGGATTTTTGGCTCTTCTAACCAATGAAAAGCACACCTCCTAATTATTTCTGACAGAGTACATAAATTATGATTCTGAACTTCAAGATAATTAAGGATCACACTCCTTTGATTCACTCAGATTTCTCTTCAAATCATGATAAGTAAATGCAAAAATAATGGAACATTTATTAAACTGTGTCAATTTCCCCCAAACTTTACATATGAGGAACCTGAGGCACAGGTGTTTTAGAGCTCGCCCAAGTCCATGTAGCTGGTAAGTGCTAGCATTTAAATGCCTGAAGCTTAGGAGCCCTCTATTCCTATTCTGTGCTGCACAGCATATCTAGAATTATAACTTTAACTCCTAAGACTAAACATTAGAGACACCCAGAATGACTTGCATCACATAATTGTTATGATCTCAAGATAATCACTGTAACACTTACACAGCATGTCTTACTCCAGTTCTCACTTTCATGTAGTTCATTCCTGTTCTGTCCTTCCGATTTAAGTCTTCTAACTTCGGCTGGCCTAACCAAGAGATCTGCATCTGAGGACTAAGAAAGGGTACTATTATTCATTTTGTGTCGGCAGATTTAGCTAACCAGCCTCATGCTAAGAAAGCCCTGGTTGGCTGACTTAATCCCCATAGGAGGAATCAGTTGGATTTATTTCAGTGCCTTTGTGAAAAGGGCAGTAAGTTGCCCAAAAAGATCACTCAGAGGTCTCCAAGAGAAGCAGGTTGGGGCTAGTCATGCTTTAAACTGTCGCCCTTGTTCTCCAAATCCCTGCTAAAGAATACTTCTCAGACCTGTTTCAGGCTACCGCACCATTCACAGGTGTGCCTTATTGGACAGCAAGCCTCTAAGGAACAGAAATGATACTATCCTTTCAGATTTTGTAACTTACTAAATTTAGTAACCTACTACATTTCTAATCTTTTCCATTTCAATCTACTGTTAGTTGTCTCTTATCCAGTTATTTATAGCATAACTCACTATATTCAGATAAATACAAATGAGGATCTAGTCTCAAGACTAGGTAGAAAAAAAGAAAAATAAAAACAACTAGTAGATTTTTATGGCAAAACTCATAGCATCACCCTTGCCTTCTCTATAATTTTTCAGAGCCCTGTGTACCAGAAAACAATCTGATTGCCACTGTGGGTAAAAGTCATGATGTTGGTTCTCAGAGGGCAACTAGTCTCAGCACTTATCCAATAAGATCTTAAAAAATTCTTAATCCATGAACAGTTTAAAATATAAATGTAACCAAGACAAAAATATTAATTAAATGGATGATAAAAATGTAGTGTATGAAAAAGTCTGTTTGCTTAGACATTGGACAGACTAGCAGAGGCTTTCACAGGCTATTTTGTCAAGGAAGTAACCAGTGTTATCTTCTTGGAAGTCACTAAAAAAAACAGACCTGGCCAATGAATATGTGAATTCCAACTGAAATTAGCATTTAGTGAGATATGATGCATCTAAAGGCTTGTGAACTTACTTTAAGAAGAAAAGTTTTTATTAAAGAATAAAAGAGGGACTGGGGTTATGGCTCAGTGGTAGCACGCTCGCCTAGCATGGGAGAGACCCTGGGTTCGATCCTCAGCACCACATAAATAAAATAAAGGTATTGTGTCCAACTACTACTAAAAAATAAATATTAAGAAAAAAAAAAAGAATAAAAGATATTTCATTGTCTATATACAGGAACTCCACAAAGAGATAGTACTTTTCTGGTACAGACATAACAAGAATACAATTTAGTAATAATATTAACTGGTATTTAAGGTTTCTAGCTTCCCTTCCCAAGTTGTCTTCAGCAGAATACTTCTAGTTTATTCTTACATATTCCTGTGATGTTGATAGGAGATGAAACTATCATTATATCTTGAAAGTTAAGAAAACTGAGGCTACTTAAATAACATGATATAAAACTTGTTCCACTATTATCAGTAAAGGTCTTTAAATATTGAGGAAGAGATATCCATAACACTGCTTATAGCCTTTTCATAAATCTTGAATTTTGGGTCAGTACTGGAGATGGAACCCAGGGAATGCTGGTCAAGCAATGTACCACTGAGCTCCATCCCCAGTCCTATATATCTTCTTTATTTGTAACTTCATTTTTGAAAGATCTGATCAGCAATGTGATAAAATTTTTCTTACTTTAACAGTTTTAAAGTTTTATGGCAAGAAAATGAGTTCTCAGTACTTACTTGTGTAAAAAGTCTGGTTCAGAACCATGCTCAGTCTCAGGTTCTTGAATCTGTTCTCCCATGGGCCGGCTATTCTCTCGCAACACGGTGGAAGTGAGCTGTGGGGCTGGTAGGGGGCCAGGAGTCTGAATCATGGTGTCAGTCCTGTTGAGCCATGTGTTATCCAGACTTTCATCTGTAAAATTTCAGTTAGCATACCAGAATGTCACAGATGGGAGTGATATCTGGTGGAAGTTACAAGAAACTTGAAGACCCTAGTCTGAATCCCAGTTCCAAGTCTCGCTTGTCTTTGCATTAAGTTACTGATCTTCTAAAGTTTAACTAGCTTCAGAGTTGTAAGGATTAAATGAGTAATATATGTAATCATCACATATTAGCTATTACCACATTATCATGTCTCTCAAGTTAATCTCTGAGGATTCATTCGCCTTATAAGGGGTTAGTAGTTAGGAGTGGGGTCAGTCAGGGCCCTCTCTAGCTATTCTCTCCTCAAGCAACAAAGGATGTATTTCCTGAGCCTCACAGGGGACCTAGGTAGCAGCACTTAAARACTGGCTGTCCTTTAAAGGGAAATCAGCAAGTTGTACACAAATGGACGTATTACCCAAAATAACTTGTTTTGCCAGAATATATATGTGGACACAGGAAGAGGCTATTTTATGCTTCCGAGCCCTCTAAGGAAGCCTTCTCGTGATCATCCCACCACCCAGCCCCCATTTAACCATTCTCATTTAACTTCTAGAGGGAATATAATAATTTTTGCTTACTTAGGACTCAATTATACATTAGCAGGTCATCAGTCATATGCACATGCTCTCTGTAATTAGATTTGAGTTTCTTCAAAGGGGCCAGGAACTATTTTTTCCTGCTTCTGAAGATGGTTTACAAAGATCTAAGTCATTATTTGCATAACTAAACCAAGACATTAATAAACTAAAATAAGGCACTAATCATAATGGTTCTACCTATAAAAAGTTTACATTATTTTAATGTGAGAAGACTTTAAAAAATGAGTTCTAAAAAGCTGTGCACAGTGGCACATGTCAGTAGTCCCAGCTACTTGGAAAGCTGAGGTAGAAGGATGGCAAATTCAGGACTGGGCAACTAGCTTGGCTAGATCCTGTCTCAAAATAAAGAAATAAAAATAAAAAAGGGCCAGAGGTATAGCTCAGTGGAAGTGTCCTGGGTTCACTCCTAGTACTTAAAAGAAAAAAAAAATATTTGGAAGAATTATAATCACAAAGTCACAAAGTATAATATTAATCACCTTGTTTTTTCTCTCCCTAATAAGTCTGAGAGATGTGTATGTGTTAGGTTCCTCATCTGCCACCAAGCATTTCATCTCTCTCAGTGTTTCTCAGATATTTGGTATTTTCTCAGACATGTGAACATTCTGGATTGGCTTTTCTGCCCTTGAAAATATCCACTCATTGTCTGGTTAAGGCCATTTTACTGACCTGAAATTCACTATTGAATCAATCAACAAAAATGTGTTTAATCATGTTTTATTCATACTGCTTTTCATTCAACATATAACTCAAAATTATTATTCTCTGCCACAGTACAAGTAATGGTCAAAAAATTGATATCATTTAGTTTATTAAAATATAAATGTCAGTTCTCTATTTCATGTCATCTTTTCCAGAAAATCTTTCCTGATTCATTAAAAATTTGGTTACTCCCTGCATATTGCCAGAGCCTGCTGTGTTTAGCTCATCAAAGCACTGATCATGATGAACTCAAACTGCCTGTTTCTCTTTTCTGTCTCCCCATCTGCACCAAGAGCTGTTTTATTAATTCTTAATCCTTAATCTGTAGCACTTAGCTCACTTCTTAGGAAGGTGCTTGATAAAGACTTATTCAATAACTTCAGGAAGAATTCACTTGTAATCCTTTAAAGATTCCTCTGTAATGCATTCTTATCTTGATCTCAAACAGATGAAACTGCTGCCTGAAAGCTCTAGGCATGCAAACTATTTTAGTCATTCTGTACGTTTCAAATTCACACAGCAAAAATTTTTTTCAATTGAATAATTAGCAAATTAGGTTATTTGGTCTATACATTCTTCCCATAGTCTTAAAGGTAATAATACTAACTATTCCATTTTGTAGATTACTTATTATTTAAATTCTTTCAGCCTTAGTTTCTTCTGTGTAAAATCTGGACAAGTTTTAAACTCAGCTGATTTATAAAACATTTATAAACATTATGGGGCTGAAGTTGTGGCTCAGTGGTAGAGCGCTTGCCTAGCATGTGTGAGGCAATGGATTCGATTCTCAGCACCACATATAACCAATAAATAAATAAAGGTCCATCAATAGCTAATAAAAATATTTTAAAAAGCTATAAACAATTATATGATATAATGCACATAAAACATATAGCAAAGATTTGGTGAATGTTAGCTACTATGAATATTATATCTAAGAAAATCTGTGAATAAGGAAAAAACCCCATATATCAATATGGGCAGCCTGATAAGACTGCTGTAGAAGTATTTTCAAAGGGAAATGACTGGGGTCATTCTGTAGAGAAAATTCCAGTATCCTACAATCCAAAGATAGAATTTTATATTTTTATTCTTTGGACTTTTTAAAAAGACTAATTCGCAAAGCTAAAACTTAAAAAAGAAATCTGAAACTTTGTTAAGACTACTAAATTTTAACATTAATTCTTTTATTCTCTTTGAAATAAAGATGCTACCTAATGCACTGATAAGAGGCATTACTTACACGATCATGATAACATTCTGATAATGCAGCCAACATTTATTGAATGCTACCTATAGGCCAAGCATTATGCTCAGTACTGTGTGTACTACATTCTCGATTTGGAGTATCTCATTATAAATTCATAGTATCTGACAGGATAGGTATTCTGACCATCTTTCATTATTGAAGTTTAGAGAGCTTAAGTAATATCCTCCCAAATTTAACACAGCTGCTAAATGAGAAAGTCATGTTTGAAATATGGAACTCTGATTTTAGAGTTTGTGTTCTTCATTAATAGTCAATACATTCTCCCTAAGAATAAAAGACACATTAGATTTAAATTCAAATTTAGTTATGGATTTTAGAAAAACCTTTGGTAAATCACTTTTTAGGCTGCAGAAGCGAGGTAATGGGAGTCAAATAGCAAGCTGCATAAAGGAAAACAGGACTTAAAACACTGTCCTTCTCTCTTGGTTTAGAGACAATTTATTAATATATTAATTATTTTTAAAGAAGCATCGAGAAGGGGAAGATCATTTGAGACAATAAGCATGTTCACTTTGAGGCATCTTTCAGGAAGTTTTAAGAGAAATGTTTTGTTTTAATACAGCAATTTTCATTCTTTTTGGATATATATGGGAATACCTACCATTCATCAGATTTTTATGACAGTTCAACTCCCTGTTCCCCACAGTGCAAGAGGGTTATAAAATTTAACCATCAATGTCTTATGCTACAAAAATAAATTAACCAACCAACGACAGAACTGGAACACTATTCTGGCATATTCAATTTGTTGCAGAGGTCTACCCTCAAATTACCAGTAGCCCTCCATTATTAAAATGAATTTTGATACAACAGGACTGATTTTTTAAAAATATTTTAGTGGTAGATGGACATATTTTTATGTGATGCTGAGTGCTTTACACATGCGAGGCAAATGTTCTGCTACTGAGCTACAACCCCAGTCCTGCCATTGACCTTTGTATATAAAATTTTAATGTATTAAAGGCATATATTTTAGGGATCAGTCTTATACTTTCATAAATGTTTCCCCTTTTCCTCTGTGTGTATCTTCCTCTCTACTCCATGTTTAAATTTTTTTTTAAGTTGTAGATGGACACAATACCTTTTATTTATTTATTTATTTTTATGTGGTGCTGAGGATTGAACCCCGCGCCTCACATATGCCAGGCATGTGCTTTACCACTGAGCCACAACCCCAGCCCATACTCCATGCTTTTTCAAGATGCTTTTTCAAGTTCCTTGACCTTTTTCTGTCCCCCTTTGTCTATTCTAACCTTTTTACCTGTATCACTCAGTGAGTATCAAATATACAAGGACATCATGTTCCTAACACTACCTTACTTCAACAGATTACTTCCTATTTATCTAAGCCAGGCAAATCATTCGTCTCATATGAAAATTCAGACTTACCTTCTACTCGTTTTTTGTGAAGTGGGGGTCGTCCTTTCTTATTCCTTACTGAGGAGGTTTTACTGCTGCTACTTCCACTGTTCACAGACATCCTATCATCTTCACCTCCAGTGACTAACGAATTTCTATAGGAGATGAGTGGAAGCCATACATCTTCTCTCCTTTCCATCATCTGCTCAGTAAGGAATTTCTCTAGGTATGAATGACTAGAAACACAAATGAAATGTAGCAATGATTTCCATGTGAGCAGTTACTGTATCACTTATTTAATTTTTTAATCTGAGGTTCTTTTTCTGAAGGCTCTAAAGAACCCTAAGGACAGACATTAGCGGTGGTCACCTGTGGAAGAAGAGGACTGAGAATTAAGGTTTTACTTCACATGTTTCTAGAATGCTTTTGAATCAGAGAAGGGTGTATTTAAATCAGGAAGGGTACATGTATGTATATGTGCATGTTTGTCTTTTCTATGTTTCTTCTTTTAAACACCAATGGTCAAAAAAAAAAAATTAGAAGTTACCTCAAAAAGATAGTGAGTTTTCTATTTAAGGTGTTCAGATCAGGGCAGAATTTTTGGAATGGTGGAGTGAGGAAATCAGAATGCACTCTCCCTAGGAAAACAACTTTTAACAGGTAAAAATTATAAAAAACAAAAAAGTTTTTACAAATCATCCATAGGACATACAGCAAATAAAGAAAAAAATTATTCAAGAAAACCTATTATAAAGTCTTGGTAAGAACAACAAGAGTTTATAAGCATCTGAACCACAATTTGTTTTCTTCTCTTGTTCCCTCTCTGCCACTACAGTTCTAAGTTGTAGAAACTCTACTCCAGGCAGGTGGCTAAGAAGAGCAGAGCTCCCCCTTTCTAGCTTTCAGCCTAGGGCTACCCTGCAAGGGAGGAACATACTACTTGCCTTTTGCAACACCTTCTGGTCCTGTGTTGCAGCTTTATTCTGAGTAGCAGCTGGAATGAGTGACGCTCCTGGCCTCAACTTGTGGAGTAGGAACTCCAAGCACAAGCAGGCTGAGAGTACTAGGGCCCTAAATATCTCAACTCTAACTGAAGGGGCAAGCTGAGAACCAATGGTTACCCAGCCTCCCCCTGCTTTAAGAGAAAAGCTTCTGATAGTAACTATTCTGGGAGAAGCTATTTCCACCCTACCCCATCCTTCCTTCCTCCTTTCAGTGGATTGTTAAAATTTCTGCCCAGGGGATGGGCAGACTATAAGGAAGAATCTCTGTAGCTGTCTAGTCAGGGCTGACATTATTTAGAAAATTCCTTTAGTAAGGGCCTTGTTGTAAACAATGAGATCTTGATGAAAGGCAAGATGGTGCCAGTAGGTCTTTGATATTATTAGCAACAAATGACAGCTAAGACTCCAGAAGAGAACCAGGAAAAGAGAGCCAAGAAGAGCTCTTCTGGGATGACAGTGATTTCTTGGATGACAGTTGGATGTTAATTAGCTTGACTGTAATAATCATTTCCCAACATATACATATATCAAAACATCATGTTATATATATTCTTATTATTTTTAGAAAAGGAGCAGCTTCAACTCTTCACCCCATCCACCAAACAAAATGATTCTTCATTTTAAGAGTTCTAATTGATTCATTTGAGTTTAGCCTACCAGGTCCTCCACTGTGCTTATAGTGTTCTGGCATGCTTTTTTCCCCCTCCCTCCCATCTCAGAATGGGAAAATGCTTCACTACCAATTCTTGGTGGCTACTAACAGGATGCTGGAATAATTAGGCATTATATACATTTATTCTTACATGAAAGAAGGATAACTTTTTGTTATTGTTCTGCTTATATAAATGCTGTGCTTGAAGTAAGAAGGTACTGTTTAGAGGCTTCAAATTTTGTGAGTTTATTCATTAAACAGATTTGGAAAAGGTTAAAAAAAATAAAAATCCTGGTACTGGCAAAGTTATGTACATATGCTAAGCTGCACCAACATAAGGGCAAATAGGGTAGGGAATGGGACGGACTTGAAAGCATTCTCCAAGCCACACACAGATCTATCAATATTCAATTATTGCAGCAAAAGGGGCTTAAACATAGCCTCTGAAAACACAGATGAACAATGAGCTATTCTGACCTAGGGGCAACTTCTAGGAAACAAGGCTTAAAAATAAAATCATGTGCTCTCCTGGTCCTCTGAAAACTGTACATAATTTGGCTGCCACTCTCAGGAGCCATCAGAGAGAGAGGGATCTTCAAAGCTGCTAGTCCCTGGCTTAAAACAAGGAGTAAAAATGTAACCAACCTGAGTTATGACAGTAGCCTTCAAGCCACACATACATCTATCCATAAAGGGTAAAATTCTAACTGGCTCAGGGAGCTAAAATACAACCTGATCCAGGGGTGACTGTTGGGTAGCTAGGTCAAATGTTAAAAACAAAGGAAAAAGGATCTGAACAGGTACATCAGAGGCTGCACATTACAGAGGAAACAGATATTACAAAATTTGTTCATCCAAGTAACTAAACAAATGACCAAGCAAAAAACAAACAAACAACAACAACAAAAAATAAGCCACTAGGAAGGTAGGCAATCAATGTCAGAAGTAAATAATTACTTCATAATGTAATTGCAATGTATTTTCTAAAATGTCCAGTTTTCAGGGGGAAAAATATATATAAAATTTGTGGTGCTGGGGATGGAACCCAGGGCCTTGTGCATGCAAGGCAAGCACTCTACCAACTGAGCTATATCCTTAGCCCATGATATGCTTTAACAACAGGAAAATGTGATGTACAGAAAGGATGGGGGAAAGCAAGCACTAGGTCCATAGCCCACAATGATTTCAAAGTAATTATTGCAAATACATTCAAAGAGATAAAAAAAGAAACACATCTAAAGAATTAAAAGTATGATGATCAAATAGAGAATATGTATAAAAAGAAAAGATAATGACAGAGCCAAATGGAAATTCCTTTCCTTTTTGGTACAGGGGATAGAACCAAGGGCTTTGTGCATGCTAAGCAAGAACTCTATTTTTGAACCACACCTCCAGCTGCCCTTTGGAAATTCTGAAGTTGAAAAGCGCAAAAATGAAAATGAAAATAAATTACAGGGGCTCAAGAGTAGATATGAACAGACAACCCTGCCCCAAACCAAACCAAACCAAACCAACCCAACCCAACCCAACCCAACCCAACTTGAGGATATATTAAGAGATTAAGCAATCTAAAGGAGAAAGAAAAAAGAATAAAGGAAAATGAACTAGAGCCTGAGAGAAATGTGAGATACCATGAAATGCACTCCCAATGTAATAAAGAAATAAAAAATAATGGCTAAACATTTCCCAAGTCTAAGAAAAAATATTACTTTAAAAATCTACAATGCACAATAGACTGAAACAGGATTAATGCAAAGAAATCCAAACCAAGAATTATCATAGGAAAAATGCTTTCTGAAAGTTAAAAATCAAGAGGAAATCTTGAAGCAGTAAGAGAAAAGTAACTCACTACTTATGAAGAAAATCCAATAAAACTAAGTGATGACTTCTCATTAGGCACAATGGAGGCCAGAAGGCAGTGGGATAACAAATTGCTGAAAGTGAAAAACTTATCAAACACATTTTTTTTTTTTTTTTTTAGTGCCAGGGATGGAACCCAGGAGCTCATGCGTGTTAGGCAAGTGTTCTATCCCTGAGTTACATCCCCAGCCCTCAACAAGGATCTATGTCAAGCAAAATTTAAAATAAAGTAAGTCCCAAATGAACAAAAGCTGAGAGATTTTTTCTGCTAGCAAACTTGCCTTAGTAAGAAGAAATATTAAAGGAAGTTTTTCAAGCTGAAAGCAATGATACCAGAGGATAATTTGAATGTATATGAAAAAACAAAGAAAATGAGTAAAGGTACTTATGAAGGTAGTGATAAAAGACAATACAATGCACATTTACTTCCTTTCTTTACTGATCTGTAAATATAATATAGTATATATAGTATTACTGTATTATTGGGGCCAAAACCAGAAATGTAATATATTTGATAATAAGCACAAAAAAAGTAGGTGGGAGAAAAGTTACATTACAGTAGGGAATGACAGTAGATGGCCATTAAAATCCCACAGGAAGAAATTAAAAGAATCAAAAATGGTAAATGGGTTAATGTAACAACCTGCAAATATATTTTTACTTTCTTTTCTCATCTTCTTAAAAAGACGTAAGATTATATCAACTAATAATTATAACAATAGCACACACACAAAAAGAGAAGGAAATGGGGTTATGTGTAAGTTTCTATATTCCTTCAGAATTAAGATACAGTAAATCTGAAGTAATTTTTTTTAAGGGACCAGGGATTGAACTCAGGGGCACTTGACCACTGAGCCACATTACCAGCCCTATTATGTATTTTATTTAGAGACAAGGTTTCACTGAGTTGCTTAGCACCTCGCTTTTGCTGAGGCTGGCTTAGAACTTGTGCTCCTCCTGCATTATCCCCCCTCCCACCGGGCCCCCCAGAAGCTAGGATTATAGGTGTGTACCACGGCACCCAGCACCCAGCCTTAAGTAAATTTTAATAATATGCCTCAGAAAGTCACTAATAAACTGAAAAACACAAAGATCATGTCACACAAGTAAACATCCTCAATATAAAAAGGCAGTAAAGGAGAAAGAACAAAAATCCCGGAAGATATATAGGAAACAAAAAATATACCATAAATTATCAGATGGATTAAAAAAAAAGGCGTAACCCAATCTTATATTGTCTGTATGAAACACACTTTAGATTTAAGGACAAAAAGAAAGTAAAATGATGGAAAAAAAGACATATTATGTAAATAGAAACAAAAATAGAGCTGGAGGGGTAATACTAATATCAGACAAAATAGAGGCAAGATAAAAATTACTAAACATGGAATAGGACACTTTAAAATATCAATCAATTGATCAGAAAGATATATAACAATTAAAAATCTCTATATACCTAACAGAGCCCCAAAATACATGAAGGAAAAACTGACAGAACGGAAGAGATGAGGAGTCAATTCAATAATAGACTTCAATATCCTACTTTTCATATGGGTGCAAATGGTACACACCTGTAATCCCAGCGATTCAGGAGGCTGAGACAAGAGGATTCCAAGTTTGAAACCAATTTCAACAACTTAGTGAGTGGGGATGTGGTTAAGTGGTAAAGCACTTTTGAGTTCAATCTCAAGTACAAACAAACAACAACACAACATAGAACTAGGAAAATATTAACAAGGAAATTGAAGACTTAAAACACCACAATCAAAACTATAAGCCACCCACAGACACCTACAGAACAAAATTCTACCCCAAAACCAGAAAAATATGATCTTCTCAAGTATACATGAAACATTTTCCAGGTTAGATCATATGTTCCATAAAATCAAGTCTCAATAAATTCAAAAGGATTAAAATTATACATACATGATCTGTGACAACAGAATGAAATTAGAAATCAATAACAGAAGGGAAATTTAGAAATTCACAAATTTCTGAGGCCCTAAGAAACTTAGTCACACCCTGCACCGCCCCCCACCCCCAACCCTCACCACCAAAGAATGGGGCTAAGGATGATGTAGCTCAGTGGTAAAATTACCTCTGGGCTCACTCCCCAGTACAAAAAAAAATCAATAAAAATGAAAAGGTCACAAATGTGTGATAATTAAAATACTCCCGAATAACTGAATAACCAATAGGTTAAAAAAATAAGTAAAATAAAAAGATACTTTCAGATGAATGAAAACAGAAATCCAAAAGACTGTGGAGCTTCCTGTGGCTTTGAGATTCAGGGTATGACACAGCATTGTGGCACTGGTGGTCTTACATGTGTCACAGAAGCCTGGGGCTGGTCTCTCTATGGTAATTATTGCTAAAACAGCAACAATACACCAAGAGCAGACTCCTATCAAACCTGACCAAAGGATGCTTCCTGTCTAGGGCTAAAACAGCAGAAGTGACTATAGACTCAGACAAAATAAGCTGTAAATTGAGAATTTCTTGGGGGTGGTGGTGGTGGTAGAAGCAAGACTACAGACTGGAATAAATGCCTGTACTTTTAAAGATGACACTGCATACCAATCAGCATCAAGAACTTTCATGAAACTGTGACCATATCTTATGGTGAAAATAAAGCAACATGAACTGACCATATAGTTATCTGTTTGGGTGAACTCTTGGATGGATAATTTAAAACAACTGTTTCAAGGAAACTGAGCTTTAAGAATACAGAAAAATAATTCAATATTCTGAGAGAGAAACAGATGAAAGCAATTAAAATCAAATAGAAAGCATTGAGCTGACACTAAGTGAAATTAAAAACACGATAGAAGTCATCAATAGCAGAATAGATCAAACAAGAAAGAAGAGCTTAAAAATGGGTTACTTAAAAATAAGTGGAGGAGAAAACAACAAAAAATGAGGAATGAAGGAAGCATACATGAGCTTGGGATAGTATTAGAAGAGCAAATATTTGGGATACTGGGATTTAATGACTTGAAATGTCAAAGGGGGTACAAAACTTACTTCAAGAAATAATAACAGAAAACTTCCAAACCTAGAAAAGAATACAAATACACAAGAATAGGAAGGACAGAGGTTCCCAGTTATATTTAACCCAACCAAGTTTACCCCAAGATATATTATAATCAAGTTCTTAAAGGTGAAAGATAAGGAGAAGATTCTCAAAGCAGCAAGAAGAGGGGGGAAAAAAAACATAAAAGGGTGTCCCAATTCTCCTGACAGCTGACTTCTCAGAAATAACTATAAAGGCCAGGAAAGAGGAACAAGTTATTGTCACAGGACTAAAAGGTAAAAAACTGCATCTGTACCCAACAATAGTATCCCTTAGGAACATAAAAGAGATAAAAGACATTCCTGAACAAATAAAAGCTGAGAGATTAAATCTCCACTAGTTACTGAATCTGAAAGAAAAGAGATATTAATAAGAAGAAAATCCTGGAAGGTATAAAACTCACAGGTAAGAGTAACTATACAAAATTAGAATGCTGTAATACTGTAAACATTATATAAACCATTCATAACTTCAATATAAAAACTAAAAGACAAATCAATTAAAAATAATAAACACATCATTATGTTAAGAGAGGCAATACAGAAAGATAAAAAATAAGACATAAGACATTCTAAATGTTGAAGAAATGGAATACAAGGGTAGAGTTTTAAATAATAGTTTTAAAAATAATATCACTTTTTATTTTTTGCAGTGCTGGAGTTCTAATGAGGGCCTTGCTCATGATAGGCAAGCACTGAATCACTTGAGTTACATCCATAGTTCTGTTTCTTTTGCCTTTTTTGGTTACTAGGAATTCAACCCAGGGGTCTCCCTGAGTTGCTTAGTGCCTCACTTCAGCTGAGGCTGGCTTTAAACTTGTAATTCTCTTGCCTCCCAAGCTGCTGGGATTATAGGTGTGCACCACCATGCTCAGCTATTCCTGCTTTCTTTTGGGAAAGATTTCATGGAAAATATTATTTTTTTTTCAAAGTTTTCAGTCTATACACATCTTTAGTGAAGTGAGTTTCTAGTCAGTAGTGTATAGCTGCATTTTTTAATCCATTCAGTCATTCTATGTCTGTTAGAGAATTCAGTCAGTTTATATTCAAGGTAATTATTGATATGTTAAGCCTTACTATGGCCACTTTATATCTTGTTTTCTAGTTTTATAATAGTTCTTTTCTTTCTCACTGTCTCAAAGTCTTTGGGGTTAAATGATTTACTATAATAGTGTTTTGGTTTCTTGCTCATGATTTGTTTATCTACTATAGATTTTTGCTTTGTGGTTAACATACGGCTTACAAGAAACATGTATTGACTGTAACAAGCTATTTTGAAATGGTAGCAACATAATATGATCATAAAGGTAAGAAAAGAAATGGGGCCAAGTGCAATGGTACATGCCTGTACTCCCAGGGACTCAGAGGTTGAGGCAGGAGGATCTCAAGTTCAAGGCCAACCTGGGCAACTTAGTGAGATCCTGTCTCAAAAAGGACTGGGGATGTAGCTCAGTGTAATATAATACAAACATCAACAGAGAAGGACAAAAACCATATGATCAAGGCATTTGATCAAATTCAATATCCTTTTATGATAATAATTCTAAATAAATTAGGTTACAGAGGAAATTACCTCAAAATATAATAAAAATAATATATGACAAACCTACAGCTAATATGGTTCTGAATGGTGAAAAATTGAAGGCTTTCTTTTTATTGGTAGCGCTGGGGATTGAACCCAGGACCCTGCATATGCTACATAAGTACTCTACCACTGATTTATATCATTAGCTCCATGTTCTCTCTTAGATCTGGAACAAAAGACTAGAATGCCTATTTTCATCACTTGTATTAAACACAGTACGGGAGTCCTAGCCAGAGCAATCATGCAAGAAAAAGAAAGAGCACACAAGGTGAAAAAGAAGTTATCTAATTGTCACTGTTTGCATGATCTAATACATAAAAAACCTCTGCTTGGAACTATTAAAATGAATGAACAGACACTTCACAAAATAATAATTATGACTGGTCAATAAATATATGAAAAAATGTTCAACATCACCAGCAATTAGATAAATGCAAATTAAAACTACACTGAGATTTCATCTCACTCCAGTCAGAATGGCAATTAACAAGAATATAAGTAATAATAAAGGCTGGTGAGGATGTGGGAAAAAGGTACACTCATACATTGCTGGTAGGACTGGTGCAACCCTTCTGGAAAGCAGTATGGAGTCCTCAGAAAACGTGGAATGGAACCACCATTAGATCCAGCTATCCCACTCCTTGGCATATACCCAAAGGACTTAAAATCAGCATACTATAGTGATGTCATCACATCAATGTTTATAGAAGCTCAATTCACAATAGCTAAGTCATGGTACCAACCTAGGTGCCCTTCAACAGATGAATGGATAAGGAAAATGTGGCATATTTACACAATGGAATATTTCTTAGAGATAAAGAAGAATGAAATTATGGCATTTGCCAGTAAATGGATGGAAGTGGAGACTATCATGCTAGGTGAAATAAGCCAATCCCTCAAAACCAACGGCCGAATGTTCTCTCTGACATGTGGATACTGACTCACAACAAGTGGGTTGGGGGCCGGCAGGGAGGAGTAGGGAAGGGAATGAGGATGGGAATGGGAAAGACAGTACAATGAATCAGACATAACTTTTCTATGTTCATATATGAATACACAAACAGTCTAACTCTACATCATGTACAATCACAAAAATGGAAAGTTATACTCCATGTATGTTTGATATGTCAAAATACATTCTACTGTCATATATAACTAAAAAAAAATGAAAAAAATTTGAAAATTTCTTTTAAAAGCTACATATTTTTTTAGACTTCTATCAATTATAAAAAAAATAGAAACTACAATAAAATTAATGTTAAAGAAAAGGTTATACAATGGCTCAGTGTTCATATATCTTTGAATTGCAAGATTCAATACCTGTTTAATTTCATCTTATACATTCTAAGTTACTAAAAGTGAGTAGTAAGAGAATAACAATATGAAAGCTTGAAAGAAAACAAAGTTCCTTAAATCAGCAGTTATTTTGTCTATCTCATTAAACACTTTTTAAGAAAGAAACATTTGAAATTTCAATGGTGTCATTATAAAAAAACACTTCCTTTGGAATGTGCAACTTACACAGTCTTTTTGTCCTGTCGAAGAAGTTTAGAAGAAAATTCACTTAGTACTTCAAGAAAAGCCAGATTAGGAGGTGGATATTCTTGTCCTTTCTGATTTTGGTATTTAAAGGCAAACTCTATGCCATCCCTGAAGTTAAAACAAAATAAAACACAAAAATACCCTTAGTATCTTATAGTTCTAGATAGTTCATGTAGTTCTCTTAATGTGCTAAAATTACAAAAACATTTGGGAAGGGAGTGAAATCATCACTGAAGAAGTAATATCTGATAAATTCAAATGGCAAAACAATGCGAATTTTCATAATGTATTTTGCTTTTGTATTCAACTTTAGAGTATCAATCAGCTGTGTGAATTCAGGCTTGAGGTTTTCTGTATTCAGTTTTCATAGTTGTGAAATGAGATTGACCAAATCAGTACTGCATAGTCTCTTTTAAACTTGTTTTCCAAATTTTCTCACTGATAGACCAGATAAGAAAGTTAATGAACTTTCCATTTTATAAGATAAAGAAAATGTGCAGTTCATATAAATTTTTTCTTTTTTGAGGTGGAGATTGAACCTAGTGCCTTACATATATCAGGCAAGTGCTCAACCACTGAGCTACATCCCAACATGATAATTTTTTTTTTCCAAATTAAAAATGCCCTTCTTCTTCAGAATGCCCCTTGGCTCTTGCCTTCCACTGGGTGTGTTATCTGCAGGTTCTTTGCTCCTCCACAAAGGAGGAGCCAGGATAGACCCCTGAAGATCCTGCCCATCTCACCAACACTGTCTGGGTTTTCTGATCCTAACTAGCAAAAAATAATTTATACTTGCAAATAAATAAATAAATAAAACAAAAATAAAATTAAAATGCCCTCCTACTTGGGTTGGGGCTATAGCTCAGTACCACATAAAAATAAATAAAATGAAGACATTCTGTCCATCTACAACCACAAAAAAACAAACAAACAAAAAAAAAACCTCCTACTTAACAATCTCTAAATTAGATTAATAGCTATAGTTCTTATAATTTGAAAAATCTGTAATTTATTGCTTTAAAAATGGGTCAAAACAGTTATTTTTGTTAAATTCCAATAAACTAGATTCTATAAAACATTGTTTGCTTATGTTACTCACTTGTGAAGTGTGGCAACTGCTTCTCGTGTCTTGATCTGGTCCAGTCCAAATGTAAGGGCAAATCGACGTGCCAATTCTTTAATGCCACTGACATGGGCAGAAGTCCTATCTAGGTTGGGACCTTGTTCTTGAACAAGTTCATTAAACAACTGGTAGAAAGAAAGAGGGAAAAAAAAAAAGGGAAAAACTTACAGCTAAGAAATATTTTAGATTTTATTTATTTTTAGAATAGGTAGTATAGTTTAAAAATATATAAAAGGTGTAAGATAAAATAAATGTTTCCCTCCTTGCACTGAGCTACAGCCACTATGTTCCCTTACTTGGTCATTTTGTATTAGTAATTTTTTGAGTTCACTTTCATGCTGCTGGTATTATTAAATGCAGAGAGGAATTTATTTCTTTTTAATGCCAAATTTTTAAAGAATACATTTTGGAATGGGAAAAGGTAATAATATATTTACAGAAAAATAGTACATATTTACAAATAACTATATATAGTCTTCACAGATATGTCAATATATGAAATACAGGGTTTGGAACTCTGTTTTTTCCATTTATTATAAGAACATTACGTAAAATAACATTATGTAAACATCCACATATATTTGGATATATGGGGCTATGATTTTTCTCACTCAGCCACAAAATATACCTAAAAGTTCTTAAACTGAGTGGAGAGGTTTTATAAGTTACATATATATCACAAAATAACAATAAATACCCCAGAGTAATAATATAAAAACAATCATCATTCTACTATCAAATCTAGAAACTTAATTGTATGTGCAAATCTATCTTCCTTCCTGAAATATGTGTGAACTATCCAGCCTTTTATCTAAAGCTATTCCCTCCTTATGCACTGAATACAGATGAAAAATAAAGTCTTCACCTACTCAAGGGTTTGCTACTTACTTACTGCTTTCTCTTTCTCTTGCATCATTAACTATTCCTTTTCTATTAGATGCAAACATCTTTAAAAATACCACTAACTTCTTGACTCCATTTCCTGTGCCAGCTACCAATGCTTGTCTGATTTATTTTTGTGGCACAGGTTCTAAAAAGTCTTATTTACATTTGTTTTCTTTACTACTGAACATTTTCTTTTATTTGTCTCCTTCACTTTGTTTTCCCCATTTCCAGCCTCTAGTAACCATCACTATACTCACTTTAACTTCACACTTATTGAAATAACTCCTGTGTTCAACTATGTTGTTCCCTGTTTAAGTGTTCTTTAGCAATGAACTGGCCTGAATTACTTATTTACTATGCCATTACTAGAAGGAATGGTTCTTCCGGAGATTTTCAAATTATGCACAAATAGCTGTTTATAAATCTTTAAGCTTTAAAAAGCCTTTTATTGACAGCTGTATATAATAGCCTTAAACTTTAAAATTTAAGGTGAATTCAAATACATTTTATTGTAAAGAAATTCAATGAATATCTATGTAAAAGTTCTCCTTTCTCTTTTCCACCAAATACCATTCTTTTTTTTTTTTTTAATGCAAAGTAATATATATACTTTTAGTTGTTTAGAACCCAGTGCCTCACACATGCCAGGCAAGCGCTCTACCACTGAGCCAGAACCCTAGCCTACCCAAATATCATTCCTTTTTTGGGGGGATACAGATGATTGAACTCAGGGGCACTTGGCTACTGAGATACATCCCCACCCCTATTTTGTATTTTATTTAGAGACAGGGCCTCACTGAGTTGCTTAGCACCTCGTTTTTGAACTTGCCTATCCTCCTGTTTTAACCTCCAGAGCCGTGTGTTATGTGTAGGTGTGTGTTATGGTGCCTGGCCCCAAAACCATTCTTACCAAAGGTAAATGGTGTTAAAAATCGAACATTTCCTACATCATCTTAGACATATTACAAGTACATATAAAATATTACAAGTACATATAAAATTTTTATTTTTAAATAAATGCTATCCCACACTACTTATTTGTCCTATAGCTTTGTATTTTTCATTTCATATTTTGCCATAAAATTTTTGAACAGCCAGGAATAGTGGTGCATGCCTGCAGTCTCAGCTGCTCTGGAAGCTGAGCTAGAGGATCGCTTGATTCCAGAAACTTGTCAACCTAGGTAACATTTTTAAAAAATTTTATAAACTATTTCAGAGTTTCATATTTTAACTTCTCCTCTAATGATGAATTTTATACTATTTCCAGTTTTTTACTACTAACACATTGCTATAGTAAAAAGTCTTTTACATATATACATCTTGGTGCACAAGATGTTATTTATTTATATATGTAGAAGGAAAATTACTAGTTTAAAGGGAATATCTTTTTTTAAAATTTTTTTCTTTTAATAATTTTTAGTTGTCAATGGACCTTTAATTTTATTTTTAGATGTGGTGCTGAGAATTGAACCCAGTGCCTCAAACATGCTAGGCAAGTGCTCTACCACTGAGCCACAACCCCAGCCCTGGGAATATATATCTTTAATTTTGAAATATACTCCAAAATTTCTTTTAAGAAAATTTCTTTAGTCTAAAGGGACCTTCACTTTTACATCCTTTATAAAGTTTGGTGATCCTAAAAATTTGGGGATATCCTTTATCAATCATTTCAATTAATGATAATCTGTTCAATGATGGTAAATCTCTCTTTAATTTGTTTCATTAATTACTAACAAAATTATGCCTCATCTCATGTTTATTGATTAAGTTTTCTTCTCTGCAAAGTGCCTTTTCCAAAACTCTTGCTTACTTTATCGTTTTCATTGATTTGTAGGATTTGTTATATATGAAAATATTTCTCCCCAAAATGTCATTTATTTTTTAAACTAAGCGTTGACTGATGTACAAACCTATTTAAGTTTATATAGATCACTTTTTTTTTTTGCTTTTGGTTTTCTTAGAAAAAGATTTTTAAAATATTCCTTTATTTCCTTAAAACTGATTAATTTTTAACCTTGATATATAATCCACCTAGTGGTTATTTTGGTACACCTTAGGTGGGCCCAGAAGTAGCTATTTTTCCAAAAACATACTCAACTAACCCATCACTGTGAACTGAAGAGTCCTAATCCTTTCCCCACTGATTGAAAATGAGACCTTTATCACAAATTAATTACACAAATGTAGAAATGTACATGCATATATTTCTGAACTCTCCAAACTCTCTATTTTGGTTTACTAGACATTTATATATTCAAAAATTTATTTATGCAATATATTTTCTTATTTGGATATTGCTGGTGTCCCTTCATCATTAAATACCTTTACTTCTTATTTTTAAATTATTGCTTTTAAAAGTTTCCAATTTGACTCTTCATTTGGCCTAAGGGTAGATCACCTCAGGATTTCATGTTTTGAAATGAGAACTGGAGGATTATCTTTCAAAAGAGGACATGCAATCCATGTCTGTATCAGAAAGTAACCACAGTAATACATTAATGAGTTACTTTAAATCAGGTAAAATACCTAGCACATACTAAGCACACAGAAGTTGCATCTATTCTTTGTCTCCCCCTCCCCTCCAAATTACTCACCTGCTGCAAACTGAGAATGAGGGTCTTGGCACATTGAATTTTATCAATCTGCCTGGTTTTGCTCAATGTTTCCTTAATAATATCACCATAGTCATTGTAATACTATGAGGAAACAAAAGGAAACACAGCTTTAAAAGTTTTGCAAAAAAAATTTTAAAATATTTATTTTTTAGTTGTAGTTGGACACATTACCCTCATTTCACTTATTTATTTTTATGTGGTGCTGAGGACCGAACCCAGGGTCCCACAAGTATGGGGCGAGCGCTCCCCTGCTGAGCCACAACCCATGCCCCCAAATTTTTGAAATTTCATGAGATGAAGGATGGTGATGGTAAAAGAAAGAAAAAGTGACTACAAAAAGGATTTCATTTCTTCATCTTAAACATAGTGAAAGTTAAATGATATTTTTCTAAATTAAAGCAATGTACATTTGATACCTAATTATGAGGTAAAAATAATAAAAACTAAAAAGGCCAGGAATTCGAGGAGGAGAGGAGGTGATATAGGAGAGCAAAACCTCTCAGACTTCAGAAGAGAACTGAACACCATCTAAAAGGTGGATATAAATTGAAGAACTAAAATCAAAACAGTTAAAATTGCTTATTTCTGGAGATCAGCCTAAATGGGAGGACAGATTAGAGTAACAGATTTATTGTTTCATTTATTATTTTAGGTCACCAGAGTAACTTAGCACATAGATCTTTCCTAAGTTTAGTTTTAAACAGATCATGTACAGAAAGCCACAGAGCCACATATCAGAATAGCAAAAATCTATCAGACTACTCATAAAAAGGTCAGAGCCTACAATGAGCTGAGATGTGAAAAAAGTGCTAGAGCTGATAAAAATATTGAATAAAGTTATTATTATTATTTGGAACTGATGCAGAACTATTAAGAAATGACAAGGCAAAACTAAAACCAAAACTCAACATATTAAATGATTCTCTAATTTTCTAATAAGAAAAAAAGTACCTAAAAATGGTAGAATAACTGTCAAAATGATACTGAAAGCCAGGTTTAGTGAAGAACCAATGAAAGCATCAAGTCATTACAAACAAACTAGTTTTCTAGATTGCACAAATCATGTCCTAAGGAAATTTGCAGAGATTATAGAAACATTGAGTTATTTAAGGAATGGAGAAAAAATAGGAAAGGTGCTGAAAGATAGATTTTTCAGAGGAATAAAGTCATATGAAAACTGCTACAATCTTTCCCCTTAAAATACCTGGAAATGCAGAGTGACCCTGTCCTGCCCTGCAGAAGAGGAGGAGGAGGGCGACTGCGCTGTGGCGCCTTTTACCAATGTGTGGCTCTCCTGGCTCACTTCCATGTTGGGACACTGCAGCCACCTACATAGCCCACACCCCATCTGTTAGCCTCTACCTTAGGACAACAGACAGGGCCTGGAGGCAGCAGCCCACCACAGCACTGCATATCCAAACAGGCTGCCCAATGCCACCACATGGCCTGCTTCTCAGTCCCATCTCTGAAAGTAATCGCCTTCATCCTAGAACACCTCCATCACCATCATAGGTTACCTATGCGGCTGCTACCACTATCTTTAATTGGGGGTGCTTCCATTTTAGGATACTGGATAGGGCTTAGAAGCCTAATATCAATATACTTACAGGTTTGAGGCTCCTGCTACTACAATCTAGGGACATGCTCACTTCCATCTAGAGACAAGATGGAAGACTGCCACCAAGATCCCTGCAGGTTTGTCACACCAGAGGTAGTCCTGCTAGTCTACTTCTTGATTCCTCATTCATTCTTCCTATGATCTAATACCTCTACATTTTCATCTCCTACCTCACAAACCCCATTCCACCTGCTGCTCTCTTTGTCCACTATTAAACTGTAAACCCGTATGCAAGCCTACTATTTATACTATAGATATGAACTGAACACATCAATAAACACATTGCTTATTGTGACAAAACTGTAATTGTCCAAATAGGAGTTATTTGGTTTAAGACTATATATTGTTTGTATCAATGTTGTAAATATTGATCTGTCCCTTAAAGGCAATGTACTGGTAACATACAGGGACAGTACAATATTATAGGGTAAAAACCGTAATATCCTGGATCTGCTTGCAAGAGGGGAAGACACATGGACAATAGGAAAAAACAAGGGAAGAAAGTACCTCAAACAAACCAAGATGCTACAATAATAGAATCCACTGATAGCACAGTAGCTAAAATGTCAGAGGAGTTCAGAAAAAGATTACTTCAAGAAAGAGAGATTCTGGAAAAAACAAAATAAAAACAAAACCAAACAAACAAAAAAACAAAACCCCAGAAATCCTTGAAATGAAGGAAATTCAATAGAGGGCTGGGGTTGTGGCTCAGTGGTAGAGCGCTTGCCTTGTACGTGAGAGACCCTGGCTTCGATCCTCAGCAGCACATTAAAAAATAAATAAATAAACAAAATAAAGATATTGTGTCCATGTATAATTAAAAAAAAAATTCAATTGAAAGCATCACCAACAGACTAGATCGCTTAGAAGACAGAAACTCAGGCAATGATGACAAAATACATTGTCTTTAAAATAAAGCTGCCCACAGAGTGAAAATGGAAAGAAACCATGAACAAAACCTCCAAGAATTATGGGATAACATGAAAAGACAAAATCTAAGAACAATTGAATACAAGAAGGCACAGAGATATAAACTCAAAGGAATGTATAATCTCTTCAATGAAATCATATCAGAAAATCTCCCAAATGAACTGGAAAATCAAATACAAGAGGCTTACAGGACACCACATGTACAAAATTACAACAGATCAACACCAAGGTACATTATAATGAAAATGTGTAGCATACAGAATACAGATAGAATTTTAAAAGTTGCAAGAGAAAAGTTTCAGATTACATATAGGGGAAAACCAATTTGGATCTCAGCAGGTTTCTTAACCCAAACCCTCAAAGCTAGGATGGAGCAACATATACCAATCTCTGAAAGAAAATGGATGCCAACCAAGAATATTATATCCACCAAAATTAAGCTTCAGATTTGATGATGAAATAAAAATTTTCCATGATAAACAAAAGTTAAAAGTAATTTAGAGAAAGCCTATACTATAGAACATTCTCAGCAAAATATTCCATGAGGAAGTGAAAAACAACAATGAAAATCAACAAAGAGAGGAAAAGCTAATCAAAGGAGAAACCAAGTCAAGTTAAAAACTAAAAATAAATCAAAATGACTGGGACTACAACCCATATTTCAATAATAACCCTGAACACAAATGGCTTAAACTCATCTCATAGGAAAAGACATCCACAGACTGAAGATGAAAGGATGGGAAAAAAAATACCACTCACATGGAACACAAGAACAAGCAGGAGTTTCCATCCTCATATAAGATAAAGTAGACTTCAAACCAAAGTTAGCCAGAAGGGATAAAGAAGGTCATTTCATACTGCTTAAGGGAATCTTACATCAAGAAGATATAAAAATTGTAAACATCTATGCCCAAACAATGGAGCACCCAGTATATCAAACAAACCCTTCTCAATTTCAAGAATCAGACCACAACATAATAATACTGGGTGACTTTAACATACCTTTTCACCTCTGGATAGACCTTCCAAACAAAACTAAACAAAGAAACTATAGAACTCCAGGGAGTGCAGACTGATACTTTGGTGCAGATTCATAAAGAGTTTATATAAAATGATAACATTATTAGAAAATTATCCACAGTACACGGTTCAAAGCTGTCAATTTCAGCTTCTCATCACCATCCATTCATTATAATTGCAAATTTCTCTGCTATTTAGGAGAAAAATAAGAATATTAAACTGTACCTTCATGTAGTGTTTAAAGATGTCTGCAGCTGCATGCATGTCAACAATATCATAAATGATAAGTTTGCTGAAGGCAGCAAGTAGATTCCTTCTTTTATGTAAGGCCTCAATTTTATTAGCTTCATCTTCTTCATCACCCTCTAACCACAGAAAATAAATTGGTTATAAATCTGGCTCTTGATCCAATAAAACAATGTAGAAAATCTGCATATTTGAAAACTAGCTTTACAATACTTCACAAACAGGCACAATTCAGTTTTACACAGAACAAAAATAGTTATACTGATTAATTATTTTAGAGTGATATTTATTACATGCTTATCAAATACTTGGTAGGCAAAAAGATTCCTATCTTTTAGGAGATTATCATAGTAATGATTAAGATAATCAAATCAGCTAGGAGGTAGGGATTGGGGTAAAAGCATGCCTGTAATCCCAGCAGCTTGACAGGCTGACGCAGGTGGATAGCAAGTTCAAAGCCAGCATCAGCAACAGTGAGGTGCTAAACAACTCAGTGAGACCCTACGTATAATAGGGCTGGGGATATGGCTTAGTGGTTGAGTGCCCTGACCCAGAGTTCAAACACAGGTACCAAAACAAAAATAAAAACAAACAAACAAACAAAACAAAGACAGCAAATCATACATAGATTGTTTCATACTTTTGTCACAACAACACTGTCAACTTGTTTTATCTTACAATGTTTTTTCTAATCTCAATATTTCTTATATGCTAATACATTCCCACAAGAAAAAAAAGTTATGAGACAGGCAAAAAAGCTGTTTTTCTCTCTCTATATTTTTTAGTTGTATATGGATAACACCTTTGTTTTATTATTTATATGTGGTGCTGAGGATCAAACACAGTGCCTCACATGTGCTAGGTGAGTGCTCTGCCACTGAGCCACAACACGAGCCCCAGAAAAGTTTTATTTTAGAAAAATATATAGAGGGGTAAAGGAAATATATGGAGCAGTTAATTTTCAGTGCTTGTCCACATGGTTATATTATGAGTTGAAAAATAAAATCTATTTTGCAAACCATGTTAAAATACTCCATTAAAAACTTTCTAAATAAGTAGTGTTTCTCATTTAATTTTTTTTAAATATATAATCCATTGTGTTATGTATTTCTAATCCTAGAAAAAGTTTTCCTACAAGGCTCCAGATGACAACATTTATTTCAGGCTCTGTATTTGGGATAAGTCTTCTTTCTTTTGTTTATATGTATCTATTGATAAAATAATTTACTCTCAGTCTCTTTCTTTTTACTAGTAAGTCCTGATAAGTTCTGAGGCACCAGTGCTTTGAGAAACTGGAAATCGTTTTGCTTAAAATAGCAGTTAAGATCTCTTGAGATTGAGTGTAAATAAGCATACTCAGTTCCACACTGCAGTATTTCTAAAATGTTCTCTTAAGAACAAGATTTTTTCTTCTTTTTTTTTGAGTCATGCTATGGATCCAACCTAGGGCCTTCTGCACGCTAGGCAAGTGTTATACCACTTAACTATACCCTTAGTCCTATAAAGAATATCTAATAGCACCAAATAGATGTGTGGATCAAATATGCCTCTTAAATTTTTTTAGAGAGCTTAAATAATCTATTTCACAAATAATCTATTTTAAAAAATATTTATTTACAATTAAGCATTAAATTTAGTCTGATTTTGCTAAGCGATTATTTTACAGGCTCAGCACAATTTTGACTAGTGAAGTTTGATGATTATCTTTCACCATTTAATTTCTTTGAGCTATATTTTATTCAAGTGATAATATATGACAGCCACTCAGGAATAGAAAAGAACCTGGATGCTTTCCTTTAAAAAACTGTAAACTTGGGGGGCTGGGGTGTGGCTCAGTGCCATAGCACTTACCTCACACATGTGAGGTACTGGGTTCGATCCTTAGCACCACATAAAAATAAACAAACAAAATAAAGATATTGTGTCCATGTATAACTAAAAAAATATTAAAAAACAAAACTGTAAACTTGGACGCAGTAAATGAGAAACAACCTCTAGATTGTATATACATTTGTACATGTGGGAAATGGCAAATGTACAAGAATTATTCATTATAGCTGAAGACTGCAAACTATATGTCAGTTAATGTGAGCTAGATTATGTAAATTACCCTGTATCTACACAAAGAAATACTATATGGGGCTGGGATTGTGGCTCAGTGGTAGAATGCTTGCCTATAATGTGTGAGGCACTGGGTTCAATCTTCAGCACCACATAAAAATAAGTACATAAATAAATGAATGTACTGTGTACATCTACAACACACACACACACACACATACACATATATTTTATATAGGAAAGAAATACTATATGGCTGTTTGAAAAAGAATGAGGAAGCTTATATAAGAATGGGGAAAGAACTCTAAGGTACTTTTAAAGGAGAAAGCCATCATTATCCATATTTTTGTTCTTGCTGGTTTCTGAAATATATGAATATAATACTATTAGCATTTTTTAGGGAGAGAAAACTTAGTAACTCTTGGATTTGAATTTTTCACTTCTGTCTTTTGGGATTTATAAAATAAAATAAATATCAACAAGGTGATAGCTATAAATACCCATGCTCTGGTTCTCCTCATCCTGGTCAATGAAAACATGATCCATCACGAAACTAAGGAGTTCTGACTGGAGTCCAGTATCTGGATTAAATACCAAAGGCTGAAGGCCCTCTCTGCCACCTGTCATTAACTGGTGGCTAAAAATCATCAGAAGATCACAAAGTAACATGAAAGCCTAGAATGAAAAGGAAATTCATTAGCAAAATAGTGCATGAATATGACTACATGCCAATGTGAATGAAAACACACTAAATATTAACAGTTCAACAGCAAAACCTTAACATAATAAACTCTCTTTAGTTTTAATTTTCTTATCTCATTACCCTCTCTCATTAAACACTGGTCGCATTTAAGATCCTCCTGCAATACAATCTATTTATTTTACTTGGCTGTGTTAACTCAAAAATGTGGAACAAGAGATTTTCACCTGAACTATAAAAAAATAAGTTAAAATCAACTCTGTAAACATATAAGTGGCATCACAAATGACAGATGTGAAATTTTAAGAGAAACCATGTTTAAAAATTAATGGTTAGACCATTAATATAAAACTGGTATTTAAAAACCTCTCAACAAATTGAATTATAAGGGAACTTATCACTTTTACCGAAAGACTAAGTATTAACTTAGCAAATGTGCATTATTTGAATGGATGGGACGAAATAAACATCATTAGTTTAAAAATCAAAACACTTTGTTGTGGGATTATTGAGGGCTGTGACATTTCTGAACAATTCACTGAAACTCATCCCATAAAAGTTGATTTCTAAGAGAAAAACCACAATTTTGGCACTTATTGGGGTGATGGCTGCCTATCCAATTGTCTGGCTCTAGCAAGAATGATGCTAGTTTATGCTCTGATTGCACAACAATGAAATACATTAAGATATTTAAGAAGAGCCATTTGTAAAGAGGGAAGCTTAAAGAGAATCCAGGGGATTTTTACATTTTTTACACAGGTCATTCAGAATATCATTGAACAGGTCTGATATAGAAACAATGAATATTTGGTTTAAATGGCCAGAGCTGGGTACTTCTATATAGCACTGGTGGGATTCTGAACATCTACAGAGTAAGGTTTAGGGATCTTTGTTTCCATTTTAAGTTAAATGTTAATAACTCAATAAAGAATAAAAGTTGTGACAATCTATTTGTATGAAGGAATAGCAAAGGATGAATAACATTGAAACCTTTAACCTGACAAGACTTTTATTCTAGCCCAATGACAAAATAAGAAAGTGTGTAAAAGGTACAATYTATTTTATATAAAAGTATTCTCTAGTAGAAGAGTGAGTTAAAGAAATATTTTACAAAACCAGTTAATGGAAACAGTACTTCCCTGGGCTCCACTTTGAACCTTTTGGGTTGTAACCTTGTCCAAGGGGTAAGGAGTCTGTTAAACCAGAGATATCCCCACTGGCACCCTGACTGTCCACATACAGAGACYTGGGAATTTCTTGCTCTAAGAAACTTGATCTTAATTGTGAAAGCCTTCAAAGGCCTCTTCCCTAGGCCTATTACACCTCCAGTATGTGTATTCTTAGGGCACAGAGTGGTCAAGGGGTAGCTATTTGGAGGGGTGGTACAGACAGAGTTTGGACATATGGTTTGAAGTATTCAAATGTATATGCAAGAGGAGGCAAAAATGACAAAAGGGTAAGTTCTAGCTCTGCTCCCCAGACTTCCAACATTCTGGTAGAGAATGCTTAGGAGTCAAGATTTCTCAATTTGAACTTGGTCTTCAAGTTGATGGAGAATATACTTGTCAAAGTACAAGCATAGAACTTATTTATATAATAAGCTTGTTAGCTGAAAAACAAAAAAGCCCACAACAAAACAAAACAACAAAACATGACAAATTTATTAGCTTGCTTTATAACTTAAAACATTCAGACATCAATACTCTTGGTCCTAGAGGTCCCATGAATGTTAGGGAGAGAAAAGTATGCTAAGAATGGCCACAAAAAATTACTTTCTTACTATTTATTAATACATTTGGGTTATTTTTACTGAGAGCTCATAACTGGTAATTTCTTACCTGTTCCTTCACTGGAGTATTAACATTAGATAGGCACTGCTGGCAAACAGCCAAAAAGGATTTCACTGTTTTCCTCAATACCAACAGATCCTCCTGCAAGACACATTCAAAGATGCAAGCATGAATTAATATCCTAGAAAATTGCCAAAAGAAATAATAGAAAAATAGCCAAATTGCTTTATTGTGAAGGAAATTTACAAGACCAAATTTATCACTGAAAATCAATTAGTATAGTTATTTTCTAGCTTTTGACCTAATGGAAAGGGCAGTGAAGCTAAGAATCTGGAACATGCATTTCTATTTAGCAATGGACTGCTCAGTGTGATTGCTCTCAGAAGTTTCCTTTACAAATATGGTTATTTAGGATATTAAAACCATTAGTTACTTCTACAACACATATTAAATAGTAGTAAGATCACAGCATACTGAGAAAAGTAGCAAAACACCAGTACCTAACTTCTCCTATATTCACAGTGTACTGCAAATGTTTGTGGAAGAAAGATAAACCTTCAAAGAGTGGATGTGTAAATGGAATTTAACTAGATGGCCAGATAATATCTCACCTGAAACAACACTGAAAAAGTCTAAAGGGAAATTTACTTTCTCTTTTTTCATACTGGGACTGAACCTGAGCATGCTTAAACACATTCTGCTTAAACACACATTCTGCTACTGAGCTATAATCATTTTCCTGAAAGGAGATCTAAACTCTATCAAGCATCTACAACATGTCAAGCACTGATTTGAGGGTTTACTATTACATAAGTTAATTACTAGCACATTCATATGCACCTGCAGCCCCAGCACTCAGTAGGCTAAGGTGGGAGGATCTCTTTGAGCCCACAAGTTGCAGAGCAGTCTGGGCAATAATATTGAGAGACTGTCTCAATAACAACAACAAAACAGATCCTAAAAAATCAGTCATTATTAGCAAAGGGCATTGAAACCAGGACTGATACCAGAGCTCATATTTTCTTGACAAATGAATGACATGTGCAAAGAATTCAGCATTATACTGGCATTTAAAATAACAATAAAAAGTAATTATCTGAGCAAAGGCCCATGTAAAAATCATTTTAATAAGGTACTCTATTAAATTAAAATTCTTTAGGCTCTTCTATTTTGTAGAGATGACAGCACTATTTTGGTACCTTCACAAYCTAAATAATAATACTTTGAAAGTTATACATATATCCTATTACTAATAGAGTGCACATATTTATTTATTCGGGGGGGATACTAGGGATTGAACTCAGGGCCACTCAACCACTGAGCCATATCCCCAGCCCTATTTTGTATTTTATTTAGAGACAGGGTCTCACAGAGTTGCTTAGAGCCTCACTTTTGCTGAGGATGGCTTTAAACTCGTGATGCTCATACCTAAGCCTCCTGAGCCACTGGGATTACAGGCATGTGCCACCATGCCCAGCTACAGTGCACATATTTACAGGAAGAAATAAGCTCATCTTGTACATAGTAGTAAAAGGAAAATGTCTTGAAGACCTTTAATGTACCTGTGGATTAATATTCAGTAACCACATCTCAACATTCCTTGAACTTTAATTTCAAACATTCACAATGCATTGAGGAAAACAGATAAAATAACAGGCAACTATAATGGAGTGCAGAGTGCTATGGTGGGAGAGAGCATGAGCCCTATGCTAGAAAAGCTAACTCAGAGTCAAAAGTAGTCATAAAAGGAGAACAAAGAACTAATATGAAGCTGGATCCAGGGGACAGAGATTATTTAAAAAGGTATTCCAGATAGGGTCCCAAATGTTCAAAAGTTTGGAGATACTTTTGAGGAAGTTAATTGTAGCTCAGGTATAAACAGGAGTGACAAGAAAGCAAAAGAGAAAAATAGAACCCATTTCCACTTAAATGAAAGGCCATTTTGAATGTCATGTTAAATCATTTGGATATTATCCTGATAAAAATAAGGAACTACCAAAGGAGGATTTTTATAATGGGAGTGTTAAAATTTTGTGCATTGGAATCACATTCTAAACAGAATGGACAATGATTTTTAATAGGTCATTTAAGAGAAGATACAATATTTTGTTGAGAGCGTATTGTGTATCAAGTACTATGTTCCATGTTCATAAGTATAAATTTCACAATCACTCTGTGAAATAAATGAAAACATTTCCATTTTATAGACAAATAACTGAAATCCAGGGCACTCATATTCTAAATGGTAGAGCAAATATCTAAATGGGAGGGCTGTATGATGTTGTGAAATACATAGTTGGTATAGTTGGTCTTTTGTCTGTTTCCTAGCATTCRACTCCTAAAATCCTGGGACTTTCTAAAGTGCTCTTTCATGTGCTAATGAGTTGACTGATGGCTGGTATCACCTAGGCAGTTTCAGTATAGGGGCTGGTCACCAGAAAAACCAAATCACAGTTAAAGGGTTAGCCCTGCTCCTTCTCCATCCAGGAAGTGAAGGGGTAATGTTGAGTTGGTCACCAATAACCAGTGATGCAATCAAGCAAGGCTATGTAATGAAGTTCCACAAAAATCCACAAAGTAGTGGGGCTAGGGTTGTGGCTCAGTGGTAGAGCACTCACCTAGCACGCGTGAATGCTGAGTTTGATCCTCAGCACCACATAAAAATAAATAAATAAAATAAAGGTATTGTGTCCAWCTACAAGTAAAAAACAAACAACAAACAACAACAACAAAAAACCCCACAAAGCACTGGTTTCTGGGAGCTTCCAAATAGCTGAATATGTGGAGTTTTCTGGAGGATGGTGCACCTAGAGAAAGCATGGAAGCTCTATACATTTTCCCATATGCCTTTCTTCATCTGGTGTTCATGGGTATCCTTTCTAATTTAAGTACTATTTCTCTACGTTTTGTGAGCCATTCTAGCAAATTAACTTAACCCAAGAAGGGTACCGTGGGAATCCTTATTTATAGCAGGTCAGTCAGAAGGTAAAACAACTTGAGACTGCAACTGGCATTGAAATAGAGAAGGCGGTCTTGTGGGACTGAAACCTTAAACTGTGGGATCCAATACTGTAATGTCAGAACTGAATCAAACAACACTCAGCTGGTATCCACTGTTGAACTGATTGATTGGTTTCTGGTAGGGAGAAATCCTCACACTTCTTAGGTCATACAAGTATTCTCTGCTGTGAGAATATGGGAAGACAATGAGTTTCCTTTTTTTCCCTTAATATTCTTATATTTGGTGGCAGTGATGAGATTTGCTAGAACAGCCCTGACTCATGGTTACATGTAAGAAAATACATAAGAGTGGATAATGAGGAACCTTTGATCCAGGGACTACTAGTCATCTATGGTATAAAACTTGTGGTGCTCTATGCTTGGTAAAGTTACCAGTGAAATTTAGAGATGTTGTAGACCTAAATTTCAAGGAGTAGGAACATTAGACATGTAAGGAAATGCAAAATAAGAAGCAGCCATGTTAAATGCAATCCTTTAGTTACTGTTATCTGTAATAGCTAAAATTAAAGTAAAAGTGCAGGCTCAGGCCTTGAGGATGAACCAAGCTTAGATGCTAATTAAGTCTGTATGAAATAAGGCTCAGACTATCAGCTTCAAATCTACCCATCAAGAGAAAAATTATGCAAGGACAATAAAAATACCTCAAAGGCCATTGGTTACAAAAAAGGTAGTCAACATTAGGCGAGGGCAAAACTAAGAAATTACAGAGACCATGGGTTATACTGTAAAGGGACTGTTTCACTCTATATCAGTACCATCCACTTCCTGAGGAGACTACTAAAAAGAATTTTGAGAATAGCTAATTTAGGACCGGTATCTTTGATTTTAAATGCTATGGAGACAAAGTCATATCTGGATTGATGCAGGACCAATAACGTACTCAGCAACAATCACAGATGACTATAGTTGGTCTAGACATAGAACCTTACTCCCAAGTGAAGTCAGCCTGGTGAACTAGACAGAAGTCACTATTACTGTTTTACTCTGAGAAGGGGAACTGTTCAACTCCACCAATAAATGCAAATAGAACATTACAGGCATAGTAGCCAATATCCTTCATATGCAAGAGGCATTTTATGATGACCTGGATATATTCACCTAACACGGCCATTAACCAGGTCATGGTAAATGCTGTTGTTAACGGTAACCCTGTTGCCGACTATTTCATATGTTGCAAAACTGAAAACAGTTGAGAAAGCCTTATTAGATTTGCTGTCTCAGCCTCCCCAAGGGGGTTTTATAGATGTTAATAAAAAAATCAGGTTAGTTAACAAGAGAATAAGACAAAAGGGAGAGTCAAAGGACTCATTCCAAACTAAGAAATAATTAAGGGTGGGGACCTAGCTCATGGAGAGTCACAGGACTTGTTCCAACAGGATAGAAACTTCTGTGGATACACAATAAAACTACTGGATATTTAACCCCAAATATAATACCTAGTTTTCAGTGTTGCTGCTGTTCTTGGCAATATGAATCCCCACCTGCTGACTCCTGCCATTGCTCAAAGGCTAATCCATTTATGTTCCAGGAACCCTTAAGATGCCTACTGGAGTTCCAAAACATCTTCTGGTTTCTCTTTCCTGTAGTGTACAAAGGTGAAGGAAGCTAAAGAGTCAGAGGGACAGGGGAAAAGTAGTGATTGTTAGGACCAGAGAGAGAGAGAGACCTGAATCCCCAAACTATCCCAAAATTCAGACGAAGAACAAAACCTACTATGCTATATCACAAACCTACACTACTGCATATATACAGGTACTTACTCTAGCCTCAGAAAATAAATTACTCAATTACAACTCTTAGTTCTGGCAGGGAAGATGGAGAAACCAGATACAAGGCTGAGATTTAATGCCAATGAAATAACAGTTTTTGTTAACTGAAACATTTTTCTCAATGTAATCTTCTCAACAAACCTAACCAGTTGTAAATATCATTCTCACTTTATATACTAGGAAACTGAAACTCAGGTGAAGTACCTGGCTTGGGCTACCAGAGGTGATAAGAAGTATAGCCAAATTCAAACTTGATTTTTAACTCCAAAGACCACCACTGCTCTAACACACACACACACAAATGTTGGAAAGGTAAGAACTGAGAGTGTCTTAACATAGATAAATGGATCA